TATATATATATATATATATATATATATATATATATATATATATACACATGTATACAATATACAACCGTCATTTAAATTCACAATCACTTTCAAAGCTTCAACGTCCATATTCGATTTAATTTACTATTCTTTCATCAAGAATAATGGAAGACTGAGTCGCTCTTTTCTCAGCCGGTTCGTAAAAGACATTATACATGAATCATGACCTTCTTGCTTCTTATCCCCCCTCATGAAGTTTTCGGTTGGCCATAGTTGGATGGCTAGGATCTTTTTTGTGTTTCTGAAAGACGATTGAAAAATATCGTTTGTCGAACGAGTCACGAGCCAGAGAATCCGCTCGTTGACCGGATAGTTGGTGAAATTAGCGCACAAGGCACGACTCGTCGCAACAACAGGCGATGAGACACGCGTTTCTTTGTCGCGCGAGGAAATGGAATTTCATTAGCTTTCGCGCGCGCGCGCGCACATGAGTCATCGTTCGCAACACGTTATGAATTGTTTGGCTACGTTGTTGGAACCTAGTTAACGATTGCGTTATACGTATATAATTCTAACGGGGTTTTTTTTTCATTCATTATTTCGTTTTTAATATCTAGATCTATTTTAAATATACTTTTTTTCATTCTTTATCTCTTTTGGATCTAATTTTAAAATTTATTTACAATTCATAAAAATTTTTCGTTCTTCAAAAGTTGTTATTTTTAATATTTTTGAAGTATTTAAGTTTTTAATATTTACATGCTGTAATTTAAATTATTTATTTTTATGAATATTTTTTAAAAATTTTTATTATAATTTTATAAATTTATTCCTTTTTTCTACAGTTTTCTAAAAAAAATCTTTTAATGTTTTTTTAGTTCATTAAGATTAATTATTATCGAGTCTTGAAAAATTATTTATTATTTAATTTATGGCAACGAATCAAATTCAATAATAGCTTAATTAGTGTAGTCTTGACGACTTTCAGTTTAGAATTTAATAATTAATAATTAGTGTCATAATTAATAATTAATAATCAGAAATATCAGAGGGTATCAGACTCTAGCGAGACTATCGGAAAACGCAGAATACGTTCATATTAGACTTAATCAAATGTAGATGGTAATTAACTCGTTCGCAACTTAATTAGTTCGTGAATATGAAAATGTATACATAATGAAATATTCATTTTTCGAATTAATATTGTGTAAATATATATTCGAAGTTAGAATTTATAAAAATAATTTGTCAAGTATCTAAAAAATTATATTTTTACATTAAACAATTTTCAAAAGAAAATTGTATATATATTTCTTACTTATTATTTCATATATATATATATTTTATTTAATTTATTGATAGAATGATTCAATGATGTGATTTAGATATAGAATGACGTATGCGATGCTATCTCAAAAAAATAAATTTCGTCAATTTTTTTCAAGGCATTGAGCGAGATTTGTAAAATTGATTTCTCTTAAATCATAAAAACTGATAAGAGTTATTCTTGGAATTAATCTAGTATAGTATTTTATCATAGATAATAAAGTTATAATGTTTTCGTTTCACAATTTATGATTTTCATTTTTGCTAGTTGACAATTTTGATTGAAATCAATTTGTCAAATTTATTAAATTTTTGTTATAATTTATAATGCTAAATGAAAGTTATCAATATTATCAATAATTAAATTTAGAATTTTTATTTCTATTAATTGAAAAAATTAGAGTTATCAAAATTCTTCATAGGATTTCTATTTCAATTAATTTATAATTCCAGATTAAACTTATCAAAGTTATCAAATTGAGCATTTTTATTTTTATTAATTGATAATTTCAAATTAAATTAGTTATTAAAATGCCTAAATCAAAAGATATCAATAATATTATAAAATTTTTATGGTGTCTAAAACCAATTTTTCAACAAAATTTTAAATATCTAAGAAATAATTAAGTAAAGAATCAAATTTTAAAATACTATACAAATACCATAAATATATTAGGAAAATAACACTTTCAAATTTAAACTAACAATAATATTTTATAATTCAATTTATTTATAACCAATTAATCACTAAACTTCCATCGCTATCTCTATCAAATTATCAAACAACCCTTCAAAAAGTCTAATTCCAATCTAAATTCACCAACTTTAAATGCTTCAAACCGATGATCCTTTAATAAATTTCACTAATCACGATCCTTGATCCTATAGAAAACCGCATCATCATTCATCGATCACTAACTACCCTTAGAAAACTTAGACCCCTTTCGAGTTCATTTGTACACTTTCTATGGCAGTTAATCTTGTTGTCAGAGCGAAAAGCTGGCTACTATTTTCGTTCAAACGAAACTTACACCCCCGCAACGTCTCCACGATCCTCCACGTGCGAAATGCGACAGATGCAAGATCGAGGGGGTGGCCACCCCAACGTTTAACTTCGTTAATCCGATTGTTCCTTGAGCAGTGGTGGTGGCCACGTTAAAAGCGGCTCGATGGGAATATACACTTGTCGTCCTGGGGCATTTTTTCAAACGGATTCCTTGGGGTTCGGGTCTCTGG